TCAGACAACAACTTCTGCCTATCCCATGTCCTTGGGAAGAACTCGATAGGTGGATAAAAATGCCAAATCCAGTCTAAACATCTGGCTGGCTCTGCGACCAACAATAACAACAACAGCAACAACAATAACAATTTATTAAGCTGGTATGCCGCCTGACCCTCAACGACACTGGGAAACTAGAAATGGATTCCAGAGCTCATCAGGCATCTTTTAAAAAATAGCAAGAAGTTGAGTTTCAGGGAAGAGTTTTGCCTAGCTTCCTTTCACTTTTTGCCCCAGCTGCATTTTGCCTGGCTTATTTAGGATGGTTGAAAGATCAGGATTGGAGAGATAGGAGTTCAGATGACAAATGATTGGTAGAGGAGTAGTTAAGCATCCTCTGTCTTAGATGTCAGGGAGACATCCAGCTTTCTGCCAAGATTAAACCTGCGTCTCTAGATATATTTCTAAATGTTCAAAGCTTTCATTTAGTATCCACCATACATGTTCCATAAGAATTCCACAATTCATACATAGGTTTTATGATTACGTTGGTTTGTTTTGTTTCTCTTTTTAGATATGCCATCTATTAAGACATGTCTCTGGAACAGAGCCACTTGAAATTACTTGTCTCCATGCAGAAGATACTTTTCATGTGACTGGGCCTCAGGTATGTATAATTTTAGCTGACTATTTGCTCCAGTTGATAATACTCAGAAGACTTTTCCAGTTCTGTTTTAAATCCTTTAGCTTCAGGTGCCAGAAACTGAAACTGAAAACATTCTTTGTCTATAGCATGTACTATTCTCACAGGGAAATATGTCACCATTCCACCAATATTTGAGCAAATAGATCAGAATTTCATAATGGAAAAAGTATATTAGGCTTGGAATAATAGTGTTAAAATGTCTTTTAACTATTAAGTTCAACATACATACAGACTTCCTAAATACCTTGGTGACAAAACAAAAAGGAAAAAAAAACTCTTTGAAACAGAGGGTTCTGGATAAGGAATCATGTTGAGTAACCGATAATCATGGCTGGAATAATTTATGATGCTAGATTCCCATTTGCTATACTGACAGCATAATGCAATAAAGTGCTTCTTAAGAGCCATTTCATTCTATTAGGAGACCTTCTTCCCTACATAAAAAGAATAAGTTAATAATCCTTTTCAAAATCTTGTTGAAAGTAAGATTTTTTTTATAATATAGTATATTCTCTCAGCTTGCTTGGTTTAAAACAGCCATTTGTTCAATATCATTTAGCACAGTAGTATCCCTTGTGAAATCCTTTGGTTTTTGTAAAGCTTTGTTAGCAAATGCTATACAGCCTTTTTTAATACAAATGAGAGACAGCTTATCTTTTGTCCTGTGGAGGTGGATGCTGATACACAATTGTATGTTTATGACAAAGCCTGTTTTGTTTCCTTCAGATAATTTCTGCTGCTGAAACCCTGACATTGCATCCTTCCAGTAAAATTGCAAAAGAAAATCTGGATGTGTTCTGTGAGGCGTGGGAATCTCAGCTGAACGACATGTCCCTTCTCTTAAGAGAAATCAGTGACGTGTTTGAAGGAAGACGAGGTGAGCGGGTTGTTCCTAAGTACAGACAACCTACTGTCCTTAAATACAAGCTTCCAGCTTACAGTGCACACATATTCTGAGTATTCTGGCTATGAGATGTGATGGTCTCCATCCTTCCTAAAGTCAACAAACTACGACTTGAAGTCACTTAACACTTCTTGCTACTCTGTAGGTACTTTGGGGTTGATTACACTAAAGTACATTACCTACGGAGGGCAAACATACAACTGCCAAAACCCATCAGTAACATGACAGGTCCTTGGAATGTGTCTGCCCTCTGTTCAGAGAAACACAGTTCACAGTCTAGCAAATACTGGAGTACCTGTGATGTAGCATAAAGTTGGGAGCATTTCTTAAGCATTTAGGCAATAACTCAAACAACCCTGTCTCTTATTTTTCAAGGAGATAATGAATATCATGCTGAGACTGAATCTTTTATAGTTTTAATTTCAGTGGAATCCTGTGAGACTAGGATGGTACAGTCTTGCCTAATTAATGCCCACAGTTATTGCTTTTAGTTAAGTGGTTTTCAACCTTTATTTGATCTTTTCCACTTTTAGATGATAATGGAAAAATCTCTGCTTATCAGATATGAAATTCTTGCCTATTACATCACATCATGTGGGTCACCTGGTGCGTTTTCTGATAGTTCTGCATAAATTGGGTGTGTGCTACATGCTGCACCCAGCTGTCTCCTTTGTTTGTGTGGTACAGAAAAGGGTGTTAAGCAGCATGTCTGAGGAGCCCTCTTAAGAGCCCAGGGTGATACAGTTGAAAACCACCATTTTAAAGGAATAGAGTTCCTTTAAAGGAATTTTAAAGGAATAGAGTTTATTATACAATGAGGTTATTGTGTAGATCTTGCTTTTTATGGAGCTTCACATACATTTTCAAGATATTCAAGGAAATGATTCATCATTCAAAGCAGTTGAATTTTTTTTTTTTTTGAGTGATGGAATCATAAAAAAGTTCTTCTTTCAGTTTGACCTGAACTGTCTAGTGTTCTTGCAAAAGAAAGAAACCCTTATTTTCTGTGCTTTCTGCTGACTTCACAATGTAGTGAATTTAGCTATTTGATTTTTAAACTGCTATCGTTTCTGCTCGGATGGGATCTTTCTGATGACTGCCCACAACTTTTGGCCTGTATTCTGTGGTTGGTAAGTCACCTGGTATTTGTGTAGCATTTAGAAAAAAAACTGTAAAGAGCATATCTGTCTTTTAACGACCTTGCCAGAGGCACTGTAGTATTATTTGTTGAGAGATTTCTCATTCCTCTGCCTAATTTAATTTCCTTCAGAAGGCTTTTCAGGTTTACAGAAAAAAACATTTTCACTAAATTCTGCCATTCTTCCTGTGATAGAAATGTTAAGTTTGATGAATTTATTCTTTTGTGTAGTTTCTTGAACATAATCATTCAGGATAAAACCATGTACTAGCCTTGACATTAGAGAAAAATCAGGCAAGTAATAGTACCTTTTAACTTATAAAACGACTGCAGAATGCCAAAGTAGATAATTATACATATCCTGTTATACCCCTCAGTTTCTAGTGTATTGCTTTTAGTAGGGGCAAGACTTGTTAGAGCCCTTGTGTGCTGATTTATCTTCAGCTTGAAAGCCAAAGTTGGAGACCCCTTGCAAAAATAAAAAATGGAAGCCTGTGTTTCTCTTTTGTGGGACATACGTACATAGTGCGAAGACCCAGAGACAGTTTATAGAGCAGTAAAGCTACTTAGGAAGAAGTTGTACAGTATTTAATTCATGGAAATGTTTCCCTTCCCCAGAAAACTTTACTTTGTCAAATTTTCTATAAGTGCTAATTATCTAGTGTCTGTAATCATCTATCAATACAATCCTTACTCTAGTTTTGCAGAACGTTTTTATATTCTGACTGGGTTCAAACATAAGGCTTGTTCAACTCTCATTTACCACCTGCTGAGCCATTAGCCATGATTATAAACCATAGTAACTGGATTCATGCAGTAAAATGAATCAAAAGGTTTAGCATGACAGGCGAACTCAGTCTTTTACTATGTATGGAGGGTTTGGTATAGGAGAGGATAAAACCATGCATCCAGCCTTTTCCTCCTTCAGTTGAGGGATCTGTAGGCGAGCTGAACTTGTGAATACTTGAACGTGGGTATAGTTATTGCACAAGGACAGCTGTCAGTGAGATACAGGCGCAATCCTCTCCCTACACTGAGCTCTTCACACATTTAGGCAACTGTCTGAACAGGACTAGAGTAACTCAAGGCAGATCATGATAAAGCATATGAATGGCACTTGAAAAGTGTGGAGGTAGGCAAGAGTGATAGCTGAACTAGAATTTAATGGGTAGGTCTTGAATAATATAAATTGAATTTGAATTATAAATTCACTATAATATAGATAAAATCATATAAAAGTAGAAGTTACCTTGGAAGTTACATCACCCTGGTTATGACCTTACTTATAGACAGTCATATTTAAACAAACTTTCTCATAGGTGTATTGGAGAATAAGATTCCTGTGCTGTTAAGAGCTATGTAGAACTTCAGCAAGTGTAGTTTCTCTGTACTGTACAGTTGACATCAACCAAAAGTCTTCCTTTTGTGCAGGAAGAAACAGGAAACATATGGCTCCTAATGCAGTTTCACTGAACAGAGGTTTTTAGCATGCCTGGGATACTGATTAATCCAGCCTAGGTAAAGGAGAGTTTTGTATCCTATTGTAATTGCAGATAATGCTTTCACCACAGGACAACCAAAAAGAAATACATGGAAATAGGATTGTTGTCCTATTGTGGGATCTAGAACTGATGTATTATATGTAAAGAAAATGGATCAAAAATATATGCTTAGGTGATAAAAGACTTAAGTGCTCTTTAGAAAGTGCATTGTGAACATGAACAAGGAAATTATGTTCCTCACTCATCTTTTTCTCATCTTAGTTTCTATATTTTTATATTCATTAACCAGATTATATACAGTAACCACACACCAACTTGTTGGATCAGAGCATCTTCTTTTTCCTTTTGAGGTCAGAGCAGTTTTTGCTGGGATTCTGAAACCACATTAACATGAATAAGACCAATCATGATTTGCCCTTTTAGATGGAAAGCAAATTATGTCTCAGATCAGAATCTGCACTGAAATTGTTGATACCTTTCCTCAGACCACCTTAATGACTGAGTATGAATTGTTAGCAACATGGATGGTCAGCACTTCTGGCAAACACAATTTCTTCGTAGAGAATATGCTAGGCTATGTTTCTTCCACTTGATAGAAGATATACCTTGTCTCAGAAGCGGAGAGTAGCATTCACCATTATTTTTCTAAAGCTCTTTAAAATCAGATTCTAAACCTAAACCCACTATCCACTTTAGAAGTGATCAAATAGTGTTGCGCTTTAAAATTTATTGTACGATACTGCCATTGAAATGTTTACTATTTATCAAATATAGACTTAACAAATGTAATACAGCTAAAATCTACTGAGTTTTTGTTCATTGTGAAATGGCCTAGAAGTTATTCCAAAGGAGGAAGAAAGTAAACTATAGTTTTCGTGAAGTAATTTGCTATTTTCCTGTTTATATCAGAACAAAGGAAGAATACAATGCAGAACCTGTATTGTTATCAAATCAGTCTTATTAGCTAATTTGCTTAGCCTTTTCTTGAAGTGGATGTATTGCTTAAAAAGTCAACATTTGACCTCTGCCTATACAGAGTGATATACAAACTTGGCGTAATTGCCTCATTGTCCTCTCTTAACAAACAATCTCATTTCACATTATCAAATTGCTTCATGAATTCTGAGAGAAATGAAACACTGGCTGACTTCAGTTGAATATGGATGGGTGTGATTACTGTAAATTATCTGCTAGAGCCTTGGTTTTATCTGTTTTCCTCCCCTTCCTCTCCACTTTCACTTAGAACAAACCACAGCAGCACATTTCCCTGATCCCAAGAACAGTGCTAATACCATTAGGTTCAGAATTCACTTTGATTCTGAATCATCTGTACTTAGAACGTATCCGTTTCCTGAGAGTATATATAACAGGGACCTTTGTTCTCTGAAGTGTTTCCTTTTTCTTTTCTATCATATATAGGGAGGATAGAGTGTATAAGCCCGGTCTTTGAGAAGATTCATTTAATCGTTTAAACTGCATCAGTCCTCTCCAACCTGTTATGGTGGAATGGTGGACTTTAACTTCCCCAAATCCCCAGCTAGCATGATCATGCTGAGAATTATGATGTCCAGCACACCTGGAAGGCACTAAGTTGACAAAGACTGAATTAAGATTATTGGAGCCAGGAATACAAGTTGACCTGTTGTTGTAGAATGATTGAGAATTAATAAGTGCTATTAAATAAGAAGCTACATTGTAATTGCCTAGAAGAACTTCTTAAAAAGAGAATATACTGACAGAATGATGCATTTTTAAGTCCTTGATGTCTCAGGGGTGTTCAATTTTCCCATTTAACTTTCCCATTTAAATTAATGGGATAACATGTTTAATTAGCTAGTATCTTGAAAGTCAACTAGGTTATATTTTTATTAATAAAATACATTATTTTCCTAGGTATTTTTTTTTTAATTTCAGTATCATAGTAATCGATTCTGCCTTTTTCTGTGGGAAAAAACGGGAATGCTTCCTTGATAATAGGAGATATATCTTTATCTGTTTTGATTGAAAAATAGATGCAGTTAGCACATTTAACTTTCCCATTTAAATTAATGGGATAACATGTTTAATTAGCTAGTATCTTGAAAGTCAACTAGGTTATATTTTTATTAATAAAATACATTATTTTCCTAGGTATTTTTTTTTTAATTTCAGTATCATAGTAATCGATTCTGCCTTTTTCTGTGGGAAAAAACGGGAATGCTTCCTTGATAATAGGAGATATATCTTTATCTGTTTTGATTGAAAAATAGATGCAGTTAGCATATCAGGATGATAGTTGTGGCTATGCCCAAGCTAGCCACTCCACTTCACCCCATAATTTACACATACTATATTTTTATGGTAATCTCATTTTTTAAATTGCCACTTAAAAATGTTGAGCTTAGTATTGGCAGTGTGATGGAATAAGTATGTTTTAATGTCTGTGAGGCAATAGCCCTGTGCTTTTGATGATGGTTAAAGACTAAAGAATAACTAATTGTGCTGGACACTTTCTAATAAACCAAGTGTATTTTTACAATGAATTGTTTTGGCTCCATTTTGGTTTGTTTTCTCTACTTCATGGGAAATACAGGAATGTAATGGCTTTATTTCTCCCCACCCTGGTACCCTATAATGGTTCTTAAATTTCTTCTCAGTCTTATCCATGTTGCTTCTCTTACTTTCCTTTTGCCCATATATTAAATTGCATCATTAGCATCTTCAGGATCTCTCAGTCATTCATCAATTGGCAGAAACCAAGAATGAATTAAGGTGGCATGAAATACGTAGATGCAATTACTTTTACATGTTTTCTGCTGAAGGACTTGGAGTTTGGTACTAACTGAAGCAAGACATTGACAAGTCCAATGTGGCCATGATTTTTTGTTCTTTTTTCCTTGTCATAAAACATGAGACTTAAAATCTTTGTTCTGGTACTCTAAATGTTTTGGGGAGGGTAGAGGACAGAATGGCTGGACCAAGCAGAATTCTATTTCTTGTTAGGTGGAACCAGTGTGTGGCCTCATTTGGCAGCAATAATTAGGAAGGAGGAAGATGGCATACATTGCCTTCTCTTCCATCACATGTCAAACATATTGCCCCCCCCTTTTTTTAAAAAAAGGGTGAATTTCTATAATAATATTGTGTGGTGAAGGGAAAGGGGAGAATGTCAACCCCTGTCTTTGCAGATGGAGCATCACCTGGTAAACATGTTTCAATAGAGAAGTTGTATTTAAAAAGTTTTGATAGCAAATCTTTTTGTATCTTCTGTATATAGTTCACATAGCTACGTTCATCTGTATTAACAAAAATCATTACTTAATTTGCTTGCGGAAATGCAGTTTTTGAACCAACTTGGAACGTTCAGTTGTCAGATCTGTTTGGTGATGATACACAGGTCAGATGTAATTACATCAGCCTTGCAAACAAACTTACTGTACTGCAAGAAGAAAAGTCTGCTAAGAGCCTGGTCACCTGCATTTCCCTGCTGGCCATGAATAGGGAGAGGCTTTTTATCTCCACCCCCAAACAGCATCCATATATAGTGCATTAGCTTCCTATTAGGGGATGGATGGATGGGGAGATATATATCTATATATCTACGGTATATCTACACACACACACACACACACACACACACACACACCCTAATATGTATTTATATGGCCATCTGTCAAGTTGGCAAGTAGAAGTGTCAGCCTTTGCATTTCTATGATGACCAAAGAGTAATAGAATTTCTTTCTTGACAAACAGAAACCAAGTGGGTTGGTGGTGTGATCTTTAATTTCTCTGTATTTCTAAACACCTATGGTTACAAAATGGATATTTAAATACCAGACCAAACTATTTCAAATCTAAATATCAAGCTCAGATACCACATCTGGATGCCATCAGAATTCTCCAAATAATATGATCTTATGTAGTACTAGTTAATAAGGAGAACTAGCAATTACTAGCAGTTATGGAAGCTTATCTGTATCTATGGTTAGATGTAGCTTTTGAATGAATAAACGGCACTCTTTTCAGCCAACTCAGAATCAGAATCTGTGCTTTCATATGAATTTGAAAACTACTTTGTATAAATTATGATTTGGTATGATGTTTGAATTGAAAACCATATTTGCAAATGGAACTTGATTTCCAGAAAATGATGTACGATAGAAATGAAAGTGGTGAAAGATGGAAAATAGAATCAGATGAGCATTGCTATACAATGGTGTGGCTGCTGAAATTGGAAGTTCAAACCTTGGTTTTAATTCTTAATGCTGATTGGTATAAACTATGTTTGTGGTGTGCTGTCTGAATTGATCTGAATTGCATTACAGAAAATTGGAAAAGTGATTCCTATGAAAAAATATTGGCATCATCTGGTCAAATTTGAGCACTTTAAAGTCCTATTAATTTCTAAAAACCAGTCTAGAGATTAAAGTATTGGACTGTAGGGAGTCCTTATGGTGAAGTCTCCACTTGACTTTACTAGCTGATTTTAGCCCATCACTCAGCATCTTAAAATGAAAGGCGACTAATGCACACTGCCATGAACTATTTAGAGGAAGATAAATATAATAAAACAACCCTTTAAAAATAAATAAAATAAGTACATATTGATGTTGATTTCAATGGAAGAAATTTCAGAGTATACTTAATCCTATTGAAAAGCAAACAGTAGCGTGTACCATCACAAAACCTGAACTTTACTCCAGGGATTTCTTGATTCACATTATTGCTACATGAGCTCTTGTATGTAGGCTTCCCTCACCCCCACCCCCAACTAGCTGTTCCTGTTGGACATTCAGAAAGATAAAGGAGGATTTAGAAAGGTTATCAATTAAATGGAAAGGTTTCAGATGAATCTGCCAAGGCCTCCCATAAGCACAAATATAAGCAGTAGCAGAATTTCTCTTTTATAATGAAACACGTGGCAGAATACAAAACCTGTGTGATCTATGAAGAGGAACCAATAAGGGTAGGTACACTTTTTTTAATAATGATTTTTCCAAAGCCTGGAGAGATGATACAAGAAGTTCAGTACATAACCAATTTTGGTGTATTGTTTTTAGGAGAGAAGCGTGCATACTTGTCACTACCCAGGCCAGGGGTAAGTTCGTTTTTGTGAGGCTGCTGATGTCTTTATATTTTTCATCAGTTAATTGTTCATTCCATATAGTCTTCATGCCTTCATGTTTTGTTTAACAAGCTACGCTGGCCTGGTTCATATGTAACGCTGTAAGTAGGTTTGTATATCACATTAAAGTTATCAAAGAAAGACAGATATTTCTAGAACACTAATAATAAGGCTGAATTCTGCAAGCATCACTTAAGTTTCTGGATGCTGCTGCAACATCTTCCCTTTTCCATATTAAGGATTGTGTAGGAGTGCTAAGGGGAAATGTCTGAATTTTCTGTTTATGATAGAAATATAGAGTTGGAAGGAGATTGAATGTAGGAAATCCAAACTACAATTGCCATCCAGTATTTTGCATTTTTCCAATCTGTTTCATCCCTCAGAAGTTCTTCCTTCTGTTGGTCAAAATTTCCTTTATTGCAATGTCGACTCTCTGCAACAATGATAAATCATATATGATTTGGTCTTTCATATATGTGACAATCCTTCAAAATTTTAAGATAATCCATCTTACTATCTAATGGCTACTGTTATTATTATGAAATATCACATAGATTTTTGAGCAAAAGAAAAAACCATTTCTGGTTACTTTTTGTAATGTCTTATGATTTAAAAATGTCCAGCTTTGTACATTTTTGTACTAAGATTTCAGCTCTCTTGTTTGAAAGTACCTGGATAATTTGAAATCTGTTATTAGTAAGTTAGGTTTTTATTAATGGTATAAATAAGGCTGTATAAACTCCAAAATGTTTTGGAAAAAGTGCCTTGGACCTTGCATAAGCACAATGTCTGTCCCTTGAAATGACTTTTAAAGCATCTAGATCTTTTTTTTTTTCCAGGCTTGTTTGCAAGCTTGTAAAAAGCTAGAAACAATGCAGATAAAATAACTGTTATATTAAATTATGTGGCTTGATTTTCTGTGTCCTGTTAATATAACTTTAAATCAAAATTTAGTTTTGCTGTTCTCTCCTACATATAATCAATGGCGGCATACCCATGTGTATGGAATTCATCCATTGTATGTTAAAAGTATCACTGTTGGCTTCCCATTTCCTAGGGCAGACACTGGAGACTTTCCCATCATATTGCCATTGGGAGCACAAATCCCTACAACCACTGTAGCTGCATAGCCAGATTGTATTGCAGTTCTGTTCCTAACATCTTTAAAAATTGTATCTGGTAATAGGTTATACAAAAGACCTCTCCTGAGGTTTTGGAAGATACTGCTAATTCACAGCACTGAGCTAAATGACTGATACAGTGTAAGGTGTTTCATATATTTTGAAGGGGAAGATTTTTAACACAGGCCACAACTATGTCATGTATAAATACAGTAGGAGTAATGTAACTTGGGCTACACAATTTTTAAAAGGAAGTAGGTTCATATAAGCAGAAGAACAGTTGCTTTATTCTAACATTGTGCTCAGTTGATTGGAATCTGCAACCAGAAGGAGGGGTTTATTTCAGAAGCAACCCTTTTCTTAGAAATAATTCTGTTTTCTCCAGCATGTTATTCTTGACTCCAGTTGCTAGTAAATATGTTTCGTTTAGGTAGATTTATAACAACACTAAAATCAAATTCTGTTCTTTAAAAATATGTTTACAGAAGCATAACGCAAATTTAAAAGCCTTAAAGCCAGTCAGACTTGATAATGAGGTAAGGTGCTTGTTTTATTCATTGGTACCAATTTATTCTAATAATTAGTCTGAGTTACATAATGAGCAAAAATGGTATACCTTCTCTTATCACTTGCAGGAGCAAGCAAAACTGGGAAAACTAGGGTTAGAACTTCATAAGCTAACAACTCGGGTTGACTCTGAAATGGAGAAATGGGAAGACCCAGAAAACGAGATTGTAAGATGTGGACAAGGTCTATCCAGTATGGCTTATTCCATGTATTTATTTACAAGGTAATAACAAGAGCAGCAGAAGGGAAAACATAAAAAGTTAAAAATGAGAGAGACAAAATGGTTTGTAGAAGTGGCCTGGTACCTTTGCCCTTCCCATATCAAATCTAGACCATATTTGTAGGAGACTAGAATCTCTGAATTAAAGCCAAATCTAGATACTTCTCAAACATGTACCATAAATCCAAAAATAGAAACTGAGTTTCATTCTCTTCTCTCCTCTATGCATGTGTGTGCGTGTGTATATACACCCACACAGAACAAATGGCTAATATATATAACAATATTCTGTTTCAGATGTGTTGGCTATTGGTTAATGGAGAGGGGATTTGAAAAATGTCATGATGTTGCAAAATTTTGCAAATTCTATATAATGTTATAAAAAACATCCTTAGGTCTTACAAGGACATGATATGAACGTAGTTTTATATATTTTACTAAACTTTACTTAACCCATTAGGAACTTAACTTAAACAAATGTAGCTGTTTTGAGTTCTCATCAGAGTACAAAAGTACAAATAATTAATAATCTACTTTATATCCTATACATTAGCATGGGCTCCTTAATTTTCCATTTTTGAACATTCTTATCAAAAGCAGGAAAAAAATCTATATATGTACCATTATGCAACATACCAGCCTGGTATTCTTTAAGCCACTTAACCAAAGGATTTCCTGTTTTACTTCTATATAAATCCACACATTTATTATATATTTAATTAAGAATTTTAATTACAATAGTAAAAAAGACTAACACAAACTAAACTTAGAGAAAGAGATGAGAATGGAAAGAAAGAATAAAAAGTGCAGGAAAAGAGAAAAAGAAAAAGAGAGAATATAATAAAAAGAAAAGAAATATATGAAGAAGTGACTGCCAACCTTTATCACAACAAGTATAAACTTTTAATAACTTTTCACCCCTTATAAAGTTAAACAAATATCTCTTCATCCCATATCTCATCCATAAAACATCAACTTTTCAATCCTGGTGTCAGCAAAAAGTCCATAAAGGATT